CAATATTAGTGATTTACGTATCTTAAAATTATTTTAAAAAGGAGGAATCTAGCTATGGGTGTTTACGAGAGACAGACAGTCACATCACTTAATTGGTATTTATGCGTGCACCAAATTTTAAAAGATTACTATATACCCATGCCTTTTTTTTATTTTCAAAAAACAAGAGAGAAAGGATTACTATATACTCGACGCACGCAGTTGTTACATAACTATAAAAAAATGATGTCTAAGTTTATTGGGATTGGGCTAATCAGCTGTTGATTTTTGACTTGGGTTAATTATATATGAAAAATACTACTTCCCCCGTCTAAGTTAGTTCTCTCATAATTTTTTGTTTATTTTTAATGTATTTAAATATCAATGTAATCAAACACTTCACGAAAAGATTGAACCTCAAACACCAAAGAAGAAAGCGAAATAGGCTTTTACAACCAATCCAAACAGTTAGCTTCTCGTACAATAATAGCTTAACTAAAGAGGAAAATTAGAACAATTTAGTTTAAGGAGATGATATCCGAAGCTAAGCGTGATGGTATGTTAGAATTAAAAGATATAATAAAAGGTAATAATAACAGTTAATTTCTTGAATTTAAATTTTATAAATAAAAAGCAGATGCTTTAAGAGTTTTTTTTTTAATGAAATTTGACGTAATTTGATTTTAAATTAATTGAATTTAAAGTGATTGTCAAAGTTAATACAAAATAAAAAATAAAAAAAATTAATTAATTAAATTATAATAATTTTAAATATTATAATTTAATTAATTAAAAAACTATTCTTATCTTCTCTTTTCCTCTCTTTTCCCCTCCCTTCTTAAACCAAATATACTATGTAAGAAACTCCACCAAACAACCTGATGGCTGCACGCTTCATTGAAATTAGTGGGTTGTTTATCAAATTTGGGGATCGAATATCTAATTATTAATATTTAACAATACTAATCTATTAATTATTACCTTTATTAATATATATATATAGACACACACTATGTAAGAGTTGGGCAATTGAATCTGTCCCTCAAACTGGCCGTTGGCCGTCCCAATCCCAAGAGGAACGGTGCATGCATGTGTTCCAAGCTGAGTGCCTCGCTTTCATGGTATGTCCATTTCATTACATAAGCACTTACCGGCCGTTGGATTAATAAAATAATTAATAACATTAGTGATCAAATCTATAGCAGCCACAATGAGCCGCGTCTCAGCGAACCATTAGGTCATCATGCCTTTTTCTTTTTTTAATTAAAGCTCTTTATTATTTCTTTTTATTTTTTAATTTTTGGACAATTTCTTTTTTCCGAATTTTAGTATTTCATAGTTTCCACGTGTTCTTACTAAACATAGAAAAATTTTCATTTTCCTTTGGTTGCAACTAGCACAATAATATTAATATGTATAATTATTATACACTTATAATTTTACGTGAATGATAACTACTTCATTGCTGTGCAATTGGCAATTCTACCCGAGCTAGTTATTCATTTCTTCACAAATAATTTATATTTGGTACTAATAATAAGCCTGTAATCCAAAATCAAGCAAACGCGTCCGTCCATTACAGAGATTTGACTTTTCGATTAAAGAATTCTTGGATGGAAGCCTTGACATGATCCAACGACCAATGGTAATAGCTTTTTCAGAAAATAGAAAAAAAAAAAAAAAACGATAGTAATTCTTGAGATCATATGGGAAAAGTGTAGTAATATAGAAACAATTTTATATGTATATATTTTTTATAATTTTAATATATTATTAAATAAATATATATTTAATATTATTAATTTTAAATAAATAAAAATAATTAATTATTTAAATAATAGGTAAAATAATATAAAAATTATTTTTAAATTTATTTTCATTGAAAAAAAAAAGTGAGAAAGCGAACTCGCGGATGACGTGTATCAAAAAGAGGAGGGAAAATGACTATGGTGGGGCCAGCCGGTAGGAGTGGAGCCGGCTAACTTGGCTGATGTGGCCTTTGATGCTGACGTGGTTGAATTTGGTAAATATAGACCGGTCAACGAATCTACTTGGCCCTTTTTCTCTCTTCTTTTTTTTTTTTTTGTTTAAACTCAATCAAAGTAAGAGCTAAATTAATTAACCCAAAATTTTCCATGTCATTTTCTGCAACTCAGCTTTCATTTTGATGATTACTTCGCCAAACTATTGCTGATTGGCTTCCTTTTTTCTTTTTCTCATTTTTTTGGGGAAATAAGAAACCAAGCAAGGCTAAGTCTTAAGGAACAATATTCCTATATTGTCCCCATTAAGAATACTTTTGATACCTGCTGGTAGAGACGGAAATAGTGTAAGACCTTGAGGAAGAGTGTAACCAATAGCAGCCATATAATCAGTTGTCGAGTTGCCCTCTTTGAGAGTGTGCTGCACATTACATGCAACAAAAGTGTCCAGATAGTGAAAAATGTCTGAGAGAAGCATTGAGGCAGAGCCCTCCCCTATTTTCCTTGCCTGGATCATTTGGACAGCCATAAGAGAATCCATTTCCAAGATCAAGTGAGTGACACCCAAATTCGAAGCTAACCATAAACCATCATGACATCCCCAAAGCTCCACCATGTAACTAGATTGTGGCCTAATGTTTACGGCAAACCCATGGATCCATCACCCTCCATGGTCGTAAATGAGCCCACCGGCACTCGCTTTACCAATGGAATGGTTCATAGCCCCATCAGTGTTCAATTTGAGGAAAGGAAAATCTGGTGGGTGCCACCTTACCCATTTAGGAGCTCGAACATGAGCTCAAATATTTGATGCCAGCGCCAGTCTTGTATCCACAGCTAAGTTACAGGCTTGTTGGTGTAAGATGTGGGGAGGAGTCTTTGTGCCCTCAAAAATCAATGCATTCTTGCTTTTCCAAATCATCCAAATTGTAGCCAAAAAGTAAGTATTCCAAGAATTAGATGATGCACCTGAAGATGGTGAAGCCTCTGTGTTTTTCCTTAGCCAATCATCAAGTTCCAATGTGAAAAAGTCTCCCAAGAAAGCACTCAAGGTTTCCCAAACTAGGCGTGAGGGATAGCAGTCATGTAGTAGGTGTAAAGGAGTCTCATCACCTTGCTCACATCTCGAAAAAACAGGCGTGGGAGCAAAGTGCCTTTGAAGTCGAATTGAGTTTATGAGCACGCGGCTTTTTCGAAGGAGCCAAATAAAGAGTTTAATTTGCTCTAAACACGGTAATTTCCATATCCATCGCCAATTTCCCCATTGAGCAGATATACTCTAATTTATATGTTCTTTTCGGTAATGCTTTGATAACTATTATGTCAACTAATTTGAATTAGAAAAAGTATGACATTAAAATAAAGATTTATTTACACACCAATTTTACATTTTATATTTATATAAAATTTAATTATTTATCTTTTTACTTTTAATAATTAAGATTTATTTATATTTATTAAAGAAAATTTTTTTATTTAAAAAATCGTAATAAATTTCAACCATTGAAAAATGAGAGATGACTAATTAAAATTTTTTGTAAATATAATACATAAAATTTATATATAAATAGATTTCTTTTTAAGACGATAATTGGCACACATCGCAATTTCTCACCCTCCGTTACACACTCTCATTTAATTACTTAATTCGTTAACTCTGTTATTTACTCTGTTAACTTTGAAGACACCTAATGGCGGCGAGTTCCTGCTCCTTCCCTTCCTCTTCTGCCACCTTGCTATTCAACAGAACCCAGATCGAGTTTTGCATTTGGGTTCTGCAACCTAGATGCAGCATCTGGATTCTGCAACCCAGATGCAGAACCCAGATAGGAGCGAGGAAGAGAAGGAAGAAGAGGGGGAGGAGAGGGAAAGAAAATCAAAGAACCGGGGTTGGGTGAAGAGGAAAGTTGTGTTGGTTGAAAAGGAGAGCTGCTGAGTTAACGAAAGAAATGGAAATAAATGGAGAGAAACGGAGATGGAGTGAGTGTGCGATGATAAAGTGTGCGATGACAAAGTGTGCGATGACAAAGTGTGCATACATCATTTTCCTTCTTTTTATCATATTAAGCTCTTATTAATTTAGTTAAAAATAAATTTTTCATCCCAAAATTTAAAAATTTACAAGAAAATACATTTTTGTTGATTTTTCTGCAGAATTGAATGTATATTAACCAATAAGATGGATGAAAAGTAAACATCTTTTGTTAATTAACCATGGCCGTTCCTTAGGTGAGAACCCAGTACAATCTTTTTTCACGTGTACGTGGGTTAATTTGATGACCTAACATTATTATCAACCATTATTTACAAAATTAACCTCAAAAGTTTCTTCTTAATTTATTTAATTTAGTTACCTGTTACAAAGCAAGTTTCTCGTGGCACCTGATTTTATAGGTTATTTGATAAAAGGTGCCTTTACCAACTTCATGAGTTAGGTTTAACTTTTTTTTTTTTTAATCTCAAAAATTGTACTTATTATTAAAAAAAAATAGAAGTTTCTCTTGGAGTTTCCGAATATTTTTCATAATAAGACATTAAAAAATGTATGAAATTAGAGAATTAGTACTGTTTTTTTTAACGGTATACAATTTGAGAAATGGGAAATTTTTTTCAAAACTCATTCCTAAAATTCAAAATCTCAATTAACTAATTCAAAAGTTTTTTAAAATTAGGAGGCAAATCATTTGGACCAAAGTCCCATTCAAAGAATTAGTAGTGTTGGACATTAAAAACCTACCATATATAAATATGAAGTGGGCATTCTGGTAAGAAGATAACATAAACATTATTATTTTTTATTCCATTAAATTAGTGCGGGCTTCCATATAAAAGCAAACCCACCTAGCCATTATCTGCGCCCATCTCAGTCGATAATCCCTTAATTAATTTAAACTTTCAACTCCATTTTCCACCTACCTTGGCACCGTCTCCTCTCTTGTCCCAGCTCTTTTCTCTCTCCAAAGCCCCTTTATTAAATCGTGCACCAAGCATCTCAGCTCAAACCTGACACACCAGTTTCTCCCAGCTGTGTCGGCTATAGCCATGGCCATGGCAATTGATAACAACACGTACGAACTTGTGTTATCCGGATATAGTACCACCACTACGACCGCCACTTCAGATGATCATGACCATAACTGGATGAAATGTTGGTCCCCAGTTGTCGACTGGGAAGCTTTATCACACGACCATAACGATTATCAAGACCTTATTGAGTCCGTGATGGATGATGAAAGTTTGGATCACCTTGCTAGGGAGAAGTCCAACTCTGGATCAGTTTCTGCTGATACTGATACCATGCTTGTGGATGAAGATGCAAGCGCCGACAATTTCAAGGGGTTGAGGCTGGTTCACCTGTTGATCGCTGCTGCGGAGGCACTAGCAGGCGGCAACGAGAGCCGTGAACTGGCTCGGGTGATATTGGTTCGGCTCAAGGAGTTGGTGTCCCCTAAGAACGGAACCAACATGGAGAGGTTGGCAGCGTATTTCACGGATGCCTTGCAGATTTTGCATGATGGCCTTGGAGGAGGCAGTGGCAGCCATGGCAAGCATTTGATCAGCAACGGATTCTACCACCGTCACAATCATCACCAGACGGATGTGCTGTCAGCGTTTCAGCTGCTGCAGGACATGTCTCCGTATGTTAAGTTTGGCCACTTCACAGCCAATCAAGCTATTTTAGAAGCTGTTACCGATGAGAAGAGGATTCACATAGTGGACTACGATATCATGGAGGGGATCCAATGGGCGTCCTTGATGCAGGCGTTGGTGTCTAGGAAGGACGGTCCACCAGTCCCACATCTCAGGATCACGGCGCTAACGAGGGGAAGCAACGGACGGCGGTCAATTTGGTCGGTCCAGGTGACCGGACGCCGTTTGATTGCATTCGCGGAGTCAATCGGTCAACCCTTTTCCTTCCATCAGTGCCGGTTGGAATCTGGTGAAACCTTTAAACCATCGGCTTTGAAATTGGTAAAAGGAGAGGCCCTGGTGATGAACTGCATGCTGCACCTACCTCACTTCAGTTACCGGTCACCGACTTCAGTGGCTTCGTTTCTATCCGGAGCTAAGATCCTGAACCCGATGTTGGTAACGCTAGTGGAAGAAGATGTGGGGCCTAGAATTGACGGTGGGTTCGTCGGACGATTTATAGACTCATTACACTACTATTCGGCCGTGTATGACTCGCTGGAGGCGGGTTTTCCGATGCAGCGGGGGTCTCGGGCATTGGTTGAGAGAGTGTTTCTGGGGCCTCAGATAGCCAGGTCATTGGGTCGGATCTACCGGAGCCGAGGAGAGGAGGAGATAAAGTCGTGGTGGGGGTGGATAGGAGGGATAGGGTTGAAACCGATGAACATAAGCTTTGCAAATCATTGTCAAGCAAAGCTATTGGTGGATTTATTCAATGATGGGTACAGAGTGGAGGAGTTGGGGAGTAACAGGCTGGTGTTGGGATGGAAATCCAGGCGTTTGCTCTCTGCTTCAATTTGGACTTCCTTCGACTCTGATTTGTGAGATAAGATTTTTTTAAACTCAAAATTCTATCTCGATTCTTGAGCATCGACTGTAACAAGTGCAACAATCTTTCGTTCAGGTTCAGGCCAAAACAAACTTAAGTGAAATCAATGGTTCCTCTTACATCAAATAAAATCAATAACAGCATTTAGCATATGTTTTTCAAGGTTAATGTCATTAGTCACATTAAATAAATACACCTTTTGTTTGGGTGGATTTGATCTTGTTTTATGTTAAATTGTTAAAAAATAATAATAATAATAATAATAACAGCATTTCGAATAAGATTGTAAAGGATGGGATTTGGATATTTGATTTGTAAAAAGTATAAGCTTTGCTATTACATAAAAAATGGGATGCTTCGCACACACCTTAATCCCAGCAACTAGTGTTGGAGATTTTAATTAAATAATTCCAAATCATTTGTGACCAATCGGTTATGAATCCACCATTTTTCAAAAAATTAAATTTGTGCAGTTACAAACCCATGCTTTCTTGGATTTGTGCGTTTCTCTCTTAAAGAAAAAATTAAATTCAAACACTATAACCGGCCAGCAAATGGCTCACTAATTTCAAAATCTATTTTATTCACCAGTTTCAATTCTTTGTAACTCACATATGCCATTTTTAAATTCCAACCGTTTCTCATTTTAATTTACTCCGGTCATGTGGCTGGGTGAAGGCCTATAACTAGGCAGCCTCCATTTCTACAGAAGTTTTTTTGATATTATTTTTTCATAATTTGTACTTCTATTCTAAAAAAACACAACATTCAAACTCTTTTTGGGCAAGGAAAAGGTGGTGGGGTAGAGCTTTCTTTACAAGAGTGTAGTACTTGTAAAGATACAACAATGAGGTTGGGTTGTTGTATCTTGGGAGCGGCGTGACCATAAAAATCTGCTCAAGAGAGTGACTGATCCACATCTTAACTCAATCTCTTCATACTTTTGATGACATCTTTCTACTTTCATTTTCATCTTTAATTAATTATTTTTTTTGCAAATCTTTTGTCTATTTTTCTTCTATTTACTTTATGAGGAACAACAATTTTAGGACATTTCGAAAGAAAAATTCTTTTAAAAAAAATGAGTTTATCTCGTGAAAAACCTTTTAAGCTCGCTAATGATCTAAACATGCTCAATGGCGGTGAGGGATGGTGGATTGATTCTGGTGCCGCAAGGCATGTCTGTAATTAATTGTTTCACACCTCAACTCAATCTCCTAAAGAGAGTGATTGATCCACGCCTCAACTCAATCTCCTCATACTTTCGGTGACATCTTTCTACTTTTCATTTTCATCTTTAATTAATTGTTTTTTTTGCAAATCTTTTGTCTATTTTTCTTCTATTTACTTTACGAGGAACAACAATTTTAGGACGTTTCGAAAGAAAAATTCTTTAAAAAAAAAAGAGTTTACCTCGTGAAAAACCTTTTAAGCTCGCTAATGATCTAAACATGCTCAATGGCGGTGAGGGATGGTGGATTGATTCTAGTGCCACAAGGCATGTCTGTAAAGACAAATCTTGGTTCAAAACATTTTCTGAATATGATGTTGAAAAGAAAGTGAGACTTGGTGATGGTCATACAATCAAGGTTCCTGGCCAAGGAGAGGTGGAATTGAATTTTACCTCTGGAAAAATATTGACTCTCAAAGATGTGCTTTATACTCCTCTAATGAGGAAACATTTAGTTTCTGGATTTCTTCTTGGTAAGGCTGGCTTCAAAGAGGTATATGAATCTGGGCATTATGTTTTGACTAAAAATGGTATATTTGTTGGGAAAGGCTATGCATGTGATGGCATGTACAAGTTGAAT